GCGGGCCTGGGAGGGCTGGGGTTGGTCTTGTTGGTGCGCTGCTGCCTCCTCCTCTCTCCTCCTCCCTCCTCCTCCTCCTTTTTTCTTCCTCCTCCTCCTCCTCCCCTTCCTCCCTCCTCCCTCTTCCCTCCTCCCTCCCCCTCCTTCTCTTCTTCCTCTTCGGCTGTTTTGTCTGGACTTATTTGCTCAGCCTGGAATTTCTGGAGCTGCATTTAGCCCAGACACGTGGCAGCTCCTGGAGCTTGGGGACATCCCCCTGAACCCCCACACTCCCTTCCATGGAGCGGCACCTGGTGGGATTCCTGGGGGACAGCCAGACGAGGATGAAGGCTCGCTGGGCTGTGTCGTGGCATTTGACCACAACTGCCAAGACAGAAGCAAGCAGGGAAAAAGCCCCAGTGCCCACCATGCTGTGGCGCAACCCGGGTCTTTAACTGCACTGCGCAGCCGAGGCCCACCTGTAACTGGCCAGTGTTGTTCAGATGGCAAAGGCGTCTGCGTGTTCCTGTCGGTGGCCCTCCGTTGCCTGCGAGAGCAGGACGGTCCATGCCAGGACACACCGGGATCAGGCAGCGAAGCCCCCTGCAGGCCGCGAGCCGGACAGCAGTTCCCCGGCAGCGGCAGCCGCGGCGTGGGTGGCCGGTGGCTGCGTGGACAGCCCTGAGAAAGGCGGCTGTGTGGGGCAGACACCTGTGGATCCCTGAGGCCGAGAACTCAGGACACCGCGTGCCAGGCGAGGATGCTGTGGGGGTCTTTCCCCCCACTCGGAGCCGAGTTCAGTCCTGTGGCGGCTGTAAGCTCCACCTCTAGAAGCTCCACATTTCCAGCCCAAAGCACCGAAGCTATACTGGGAGCAAACAAGTGATGTTGAAACAAGTCCCAGATCCAGACAGGAAAAGATTCTCCGTGGGCCTGATATGTCCAGCGCCCGGGCGGGTGGGCAGCCGGGCACGTGCCTTTGAGGTGCGCCCAGGTCCCCCTCGCTGTGACCCACCTGAAGACGGTGAGGAGGGAGGAGAGGAGCACTGCGGCCAGCACGCAGGAGGCGGCTGGCTGCCCTGGGGACATACGACAGAGGCCGGAATGGCCGGAGACTGGCCTCCACGGGGAAGGCCATGTGGAGAGACGAACGGGAGGCGAGGGGCCGAGGGCGCGAGATGCGCACTGTCCTGGTTGAGCACTGGCTGTGCCACTTACGAGCTCCGTGGCCTGGGACAGTCTACATGTGCTCCCCCACCCTGTCCCCTGGACAGAGCGATCGATGGCACCTCCCCTAGGACAGCTGCCCAGGTGGGAGGCCCCGGTGAGAGGCTGGCCAGGTGCTGGGCTGACGAGTCCCCCAGTCCCAACAAGCCCAGCCTCAGGCCGTCCCCACCCGCCAAGACCTTCTCCGCTGCCCAGCGTCTTCCTCAAGTGCCGAGCCACGTGGGTCCCGGGCAGGCCCCGGGTGCTCCCGCCTGCCCCTTCCTCTTGCTCACGCTCTCTCCGGCAGCGAGTGCCAGGTCGAAGGCTGCCCCTCTCTGGCCTACCACTTCCCTCTCTGACAGAAGTAAATCTCTGCCCTCTGCCTGTCCCTGTCCTTCTGGGGCGTGGTCAGCCTTGTCCTACATGCATTTGCGGCTGCCCAGTGTTTCCCTGCTGGAACATAAAGTCCTCGCAGGCAGGACCACATCTTGGCCATTTTTGCCTCCTTCATGGAACGAGGCCAGCAGCTGGCCGAGGAAAGGCCACTGCAAATAATAATAAGGGTCACCGACAGTCCTCTGTTTGAAGGACAGAGGTTTGGAGGACGGCCCCAGTGTCTGGCTGAATCAAGAAGACAGTGGTGCCTCATGGCTTTGGGTTTGGGAATAAGCTGCCCCCGTCCCCAGGAATCCTGCAGAATTCGGCAGAGTCCCCCTTTCTGGCTTACAACTCCAGGAAAAGCTATAAACGTTGTCCGTCAGAATCTCCTCTCTGTAAAATGGCATCAGGACTGTGTCCTCACACGAGTGGCCCGTGCGTTGGAGGCGGCGGTGCAGAGCCCGCTGTGCTCCAGCACCCGCCAGCGTCACCTGCCAGCCGGGCAGGCCGGGGTGAGTGGGGTCAGCCATGCCGGGGCTGCACTCTGGCAGCCGACGTGCCACGGGGCAGGGTCCGCCCCAGTCACAGGGGCCGCAGTGAGGGGCATGGTACGACAGCTACTTTTACGTCAGTGTGGCTGGGCTATGCGATGCCAGTGTTTGGGTCAACCCCAGACCAGGTGTTGCTGTGAGGCAGTTTTTAGAAGTGACTGACATCTGAGTCGGTAGCCTTTGAGCAAAGCAGGTGACGCTCCGCAATGTGGTGGGCCTCGTCCGATCAGTCGAAGGCCTTAAGAGCAAAGACAGGTGTCCCTGAGAAAAGCGATTCTGCTTTGAGACGGCAACGCGACAGCCCTGCCTGAGCCGCCAGCCTGCTGTCCCGTGCAATTCCGACCTGAGACAGCGACGCCGACTCGTCCCTGCACGTCCAGCCTGCCCTGCAGATTTCAGAGTCGCCAGGCTTCACGATTCTGTGAGTCAATTCCTTAAACTAAATCCCCCCAGCCTCTCTATGTCCTGTTGGTTCTGCTTTGCTAGAGAACCCTAACACCCGTAGGGGCCACAGGGTGAGGGGCCACCTCCGTTAACAAATGGGCACAAGGCCACCATCACGGGTCCCTGCAGCCTCCTCCTCCCTCGGGGACACTTTCTCTTGGACCAGTCCCTGCTCTTTCTGTGACACCCCGGAGCCCCATTTCTCGCTCTTTGCGACCAGTTTCCTGGTATGTGAGTGCCAGCCCTCGGTCTCAGGAGTACACTTTGTAAAGAACTGTGAAGTAGTTCGGAAGCACGCCGTACAATATAAAATTTATTATAAAACTTCAGCGAATATAAATATCCAGGTGCTCATCAGGTCGGAGCCGTGCCGCGGACAGCAGCACCATGACGACGGGGGACGTGGGGGGCCTGGGGTGGCTGCCCTTCGAGCAGCCCTGGCCTTCCTTCGCAATGCATCACATAAATGACCAGATTCACGGGAGAAATTTCACAAACCTTACGACACACAGAAATGAAACTCGGGGCTCTAAGGTCATCACCAAGCCCGCTGCCTGGCCGCTGTCTGTCGCGGCAGGGCCGCGGCTCTTCTTAGGAATGCGGGGTTGGATGGCAACTGTACATCTGATCTGTCGTTTCGAAAAGAAAGCATTAAGAAATGGATTTCGATAGGAACACTCGCTTGCAAATAACTGAGAAAGATAAAACATAAGATATCGAAAGTCTTCCCTCCATCTCACGGGTCTGAAAGGGACAGGAGCACCGAGCAGGGATGTCACTCTTCCCGTTTCCATGTGCAAAGTCCCAAAGCCGAATGCAGTCCCCGGGCAGGCGCCCCTGGACAGGACGCTGGTTCTTGTGGCGGCTCCAGGTCCCTTCGAGGAGCAACTGTGCAGCTGGGGAGGAGGAAGAGCCTGGGCAGCCTGGGGTCCCCGCTCCTGCCCTCCTCTCAGAAAGCTGGTCGTTCCTGATGGCCAGTGGCCCCTGGGCGCGAGCAGGGTCACGCACCTAGCGGCAGATATTCTGTACGTTTTCCTTATTCCACGGCCTTTCCTTCTTAGTACAAAGCACCAGACGTTTAGTGTTTGGCAGCTCGCCCCTGCGTGTCTTTCGGACTTGATTTGTCTGCCCGCAAGCGAGGGTGCGCGTCCCTGTCCGGCGGGGCCGCCTCTGCCTGCCACGCAGGGGCCGCGCCGCCGGGGCTCCGGGCTCCAGCCCAGCAGGAGAGTCTGCACATGCGCGGACACAGGTGTGCGCCCCGGCTCACACGGAGACGCGCACACGCGGGCTCTCGGTCAAAGAGCCTGACGGTCTTTTCCTTCCAGCTTGGGTCTTCCCTGGACGCCTTCCCGCGTGGACTGCGCAGCTCAGCGTGGGAAACCCCTCGGCCGCGCGGCGCGCTCTCCGCCGCGGGAAGCCGTCCCGACTCACAGGTTGGCCTGGGAGCAGGCGCTGCAGCACTGCCGGCCGTAGAACTTGTGCGCGCACACCCCGTGCTGGGGCACCAGGTAGCACCAGCGGAAGTAGTCCTTGCAGAAGGCGTCTGAAAACGAGCAAACCCGCACGCTCAGTGCTCCCAAGCGCAGCATCGCACTCCGCCAGCTAATGACTGTCCCCCAAATGACAGCAAATGGGTCATGCTCTGAAGCTGCTGAACAGGGCAGCTCTTCAGGCCTGACTGGGGCCCTGTGGAACCTACTCTTTTCACAGGACCTTTCTTGGAAGGTTCCTGCAAAACTAAAATCTTCTTTTTGTGCCAAACCCACCCTCTCAACCACTCACCCACCCGAGCCATGGAGCCTCTGCCGACTGACTTTCAATGGTCCAATTCTCTGGCTGAGCCAAACCACTCGCCTTCCTCAGCTATGATTTTTCTCAGAAAAGCCGTCATCTGCAATACTGGGGGCGTTTTGTGTTGTGTGCACAGGGTTGGCGTTTAGAGAGTGCCTGATGAATAAGGGAGGCCTTTGTCTAACTTGGGGGGAAAGGCTGCTTTAGTTAAGGTTGCCTTCTTTAAATGCAGCGAATAGCATTGAACTTGGAAAGAAATCATGCTTTCCTAAAGCTAGACCCATGTCGCCATGTCATCATGATCTATGACATTCTGGGGTGGTCTGAGAGGCGGCAGGGTCTGATTTGTGGGCCATTTCATTCAAAAACTGGAGGAGGAGATGCAAAGAGAAAAAAAGTGGGGCAGACACAAGACCCAGACTCTCCGAGGCCCTCCGAGGACCTCCCAGAAACTTCACAGCCTGCCCGAGGCCCAGACCCCGCCCAGGGGCTCCCGTGCTCACCTTTCTTCTCCGCAATGGGGCAGAAGTGGGTGTTGCAGGCCAGGGAGGCCTCCGGCTTCTGGTGCAGGAAGCAGCTGGACGCTGGCCGGCCCCCGGCCAGGCACTGCACCGACCTGGTCTGGACGCCGCCCCCGCAGCTGGCCGTGCACTGCAGGGAGACACACACAGGTCAGCTGTCGGTGCCGCCCTTCAAACGGGGCGCTGCTTTGGGCCAGCGAGGGAAGAGCATCGTTGGTGAAGAAGAGTCACGCTCGGCCTGATGCCGACAGTCCCGGCTCACCTTGCCCATAGCGTGCATCGGCGTGTCCCGGGCAAGGCCCTACTGGAGCTTGTGAACCAACCGGGTCACACAGCTACGATGACCCTTCCTGCTGTTCAGATGGCAGAGACTTTGCTGGTGACAGGGCCTGCCAGGCTGGGATTTGACTGCTGAAGTCTGATGCTGAGGCCTTAACTGAGGGTTCCTGGGACTGGGCTCTTTGGGGGCAGAATACTCTTTTTTAGAAGAGTAAGTAAACTGAGTAAAGCAAATGATATTAATGGATTGGTATGTTATCTCCTCAGACTACAGGTAGTGCTGAAAAAAACTAGATGCCTCCAGTGAAATTACTTACAAGTTATCCTTCTGATTGAAAAACAAGAAAAGCCTTCCAATTCTGGTTTGTATTTGAGGTACTTCAGAGCACAAGATTGCTGATGTTACCACCCCGGATGCGGGGCCAATGTGCTCGCTTTCCTGCGCTGGCTTCTTCCCTAACTCCAGGCGTGGGGGCGGCCCTGGCACCGCTGGGTGAGGCAAGCCCTCCTCTCCTCTTCCCTCCCTCCTTGCGTGCATTCCCACTCCACCCTAGACGTCTAGAATGTTCTTAAGTGAGTCACTGATGGGTCAATAGACACAAGGAAACCGGGGATATCTGGGGATACCAGGGTCATTTCCAAGCCCGGCATGAAAGAAACGGCCCCTCAGGGAATGCCCTCACCGAGCCCCCCTTTCTGGCAGTCCCGACCGGAACCAGCTTGATGAGAGGCATGATACAACTAAGCCCCTTCTAGACCCCAAGTTCCAGGGCTCCCAGTGCCTGCTGGGGCTCATTTTGTTGAGACGCTGGCATCTTATGGGCCCCCCAGTACTCTGAGTAGCAACAGCACAGGGAAGGGAGGGAGGTCGGTTAGAGCATCTTCCATTAGCTGGCCAGACGCGCACACCACAAAATGTGAGTGGGATCCCTCTGAGGTCACCTGCGGTGAAGAAACTGGGGATAAGAAACTGCAGAGACAGAGGAACCCGAACCCGCACCCACAGTCTAGACCAAATTATGTGAATTGTGCTCAGAGAAGGCTGCCAGTTCAAAAATGTTAAGAACGTAAGAATTAAACACACACCTGCAAGAAGATGGGGTCGGATAACATTTTGGAAGTCCCTGTGCGTGGTGGAGAAACTAAAGGGCTGCTGTGACAAACTGGGGCTCGCGTTGCTTGCCCAGACCTACGAGACCGTGTGCGGAGCAGCTCAGGCCGCGGCCGCTTCCCACCGCGCGGATCAGCCCGCCCGTGAGCAGCCGCCGCCAAAGCTCGCCTGCGTCCCTCCAGGACCTGCTGCAGCCAGAGCTTCGCCAAGTACCGTAAATCCGCGGGGACAGGGACTGGGCACTGCAGCAAGTCAGACACCTCCCCCTGCCCCTCGGGAGGGGAGGAGTTGCACCCAGAGTACTGAAAATCACAGGCTGAAGGAGTTGTTTGTTCTTCTCGGTTTTTGTCCTCTGTGGATAAGGGCTGTCCGGCCCCTGTGCATGTGTCTGGAACACCTGGGAGACTTCCCCTGTGCTTCAAACCCAATTTCAGCAAAAGGCGTCAATAATTCAGTTCAGTACATGACTATGGCAACCAGAAAAAATGTTGTGGGCAGATTCGTGTCTGATTTCATTATCAGGATCGCACACCAGAGCCAGACGTTTCCCATTGCCTCTTACATCTTTCTGGACATCCCCGAACCACGGCTCTGGCCTTTGCTCCTTGCAGTCTACGTTCAGACTCCCCGCAGCCCACGCGGTGCGCTGAGAGCCTTAGGCTGTGCGGGGCTTGTGCACCGAGACGGCAGCTCAGAGCTTCTCGCTGGTCACGTCCACTTCTCTGGGCGTCTGAAACTTCTACTTTGCATTGAATTTCTTTTTCTCTTCTCCTTCTCCTCCTCTCTCCTCTCCTCCCCTCTCCTCCTCTCTCCTCCTCTCTCCTTTCCTCTCCTCTCCTCTCCTCTTCTCCTCTCTTTTCTGTTCTCTTTTCTTCTTCTTTCCTTCTCTTTCTCTCTTTCTTTCTCTCTCTTTTCTTTCTTTCTTTTCTTTTTTTTTTTTTTAAACTCTCCAGCAAACACAGAAACTCATGTTAAATTTCTTTCCCAATCAGCAGCTGGAGCAAAATTTCATTCTTGCTGAGGATTTTACACCTTTTTTGAAAATGAAGAGATCATGACATTTTTTAAAATCATGTAAACAGTTCCAAAATAATTACTATGTGGTTTAATTCATTTTTGTCACTGATTCACTTATTCAATAGATGTTCATTGCTCACTCCCCTGTACCGGGCACTGTTCTAGGCACTAGATACTGAGGCATGAACACGGCGGCGTGGCGCAGGCCTCAAAGTAGCTACACAGCCTGGCCACGCAGAGTGCGGCCCCTCACCCAGCTGCACGTAGTGTGACGACCGCTTCAGACTCGGTGCTGTCCCAGGCGATGCTTATGCACACGGAGTGAGAGAAGCGCTGGTCTGGAGAGTTTTAAAATTCCTATGAAAAAAAATTATGGGATAAAAGCCCTCTAAATTTCTCAAAATGTGCATTTCTCTATGTAAAGTAAAAGTAGTAAGACGTTCAGCTGCACATTTTGAAAACATTTTGAATTGATGGAGGGCGATACACCAAAAGATGGAAGAGAAGAAACCTGAAAACGTTTATTCACTTTTCATTCCAGGAAGGAATAAGAGGAGCAGTTGTTCGTCACTATCACCAATGCGATGGCTTGAAACTCAGCGTGGCTGTCTAGAATTCACGTTCCAGATTTTCAGCTGGGTTTATGATTTCCAAACAGACTGACCCTAAGAATCCTCCGGAGCCCTTGACAACCGTGTAGACTCCCGAGGTGGGGACCCGGGGGACAGGAGGGCTGGGGAGGGGCCGGGAGGCTGCGGCCCCCAGGTGTGCTGGGCAGGCCATGAGGCACGGCACCTCCTGGAGAGTACTGCTCAGACAGAAGAGTCTGGAACTTGGATCTGGAAATCACACTTACAGCTTCTTTCTCCAGCTCCCCGGGATCTAACCTGAGCATCCCACTGATTGCGCGGACAGGGCTGGCCACCGCACAGCGCGTGATGGCGACGGTACCTGCAGCCCTGACTGCCACACAGCTGCAGCTGTTGGAGCCTCTGAAGCCCCTTGATGTTGGCCGCACCCCCAGATCAGTGGCTCTCCAGTCTGAACATGAACGAGAACCACCGGGGGGACTGACTACAACAGGCGGCTGGACCCCACCTAAGAGCTCAGCCGGAGCAGGTCTGGAAGCTGGGTGGGAGCTGAGAACCTGCAGGGCGGGCCACCCTGGAGAACCAGGGCCCTAGGTTTTCAGAGTTACATTGGCAAATGCCCTTTTGCCTTTTCTTTTTCTTTTCTTTTTTAATTTTCAGAACTGGCTTCAGTCACATCTTAATCTAAACCCTTTCCTGAGCGTGGCCTCTGCAGACACTGTCGTGCCTCAGTCTGGATGGGCTGCTCTCTGTCACCACCTCAGAGAGGACCCCAGGAGACCCCCACTCCTGGGGAGCTGCTCCGTTGCACTGGATTCGCCCCCCAGGACTGCACAGCAGTTCTGCAACACTAGTGAGGACACATCTTTTAGGTCTGCGTCTCCTGCTGCTATGAGGACTCCCAGGGCGGGGGCAGGCCTGTCTGACGGGGGCGGGGGGGGGCCGTAAACCCTCTGTTGAGCCAATGACTGAGGTCAACTCAGATGCCCCCTTCGTGGGAGTGGGGTGCAGAATGTCAAGCCGGATCAGCCCCAGGCTCCAACGGGCCGTCCCGCGGCTACCGGGCTCCATAGCTACCGATCTTCCAGCAGCCTCAGGAAACCTCTCCCTCTGCCTCCCCTGCTGCCCGGCCCAGCGCTGCCTGGCGCTCTGACCGGGCCTGCAGCACGCCCAGGGGAGTGCAGTGGCTCTTGCTAAGACTCTATCCAGCTTGGGGAAATTGGATGCTGACGGAGGTCCTGCAAAGAGTGCCTTTTGCCATTCTCGGATTACATGGCCTCCTTTGCACCTGGGAGGCCACCTTGCCTCATGCCCCGAGGGAGCCCCTGCAGACAGCTTAGCTCCAGCTCCCCTTCCAGTGAGTCTAATCCAGACATCAACTAAGCACACACTTCTAGCACGCTGACTTGCTGAAAGACCACTTCCTTCTGATTTTCTTGTGTGCTCCTGCTTCAGTAGTGGTTTCCAGGCTTTCAGAGCTCAGCAGCTCACGTAAAGAGACACTGCGCAAACACCCCAGGTGAACGGGAAAACAGTCACTCTTGGTCACTAGGAAAAAAGATGAATTTTTAAATAATAGTATTTGCCTCTTTTTTAAAAATTTTTAATTCGGGTTGTTTTTTTTTTTCTTTTTCCTTGTTTTTTTTGGGTTTTGTTGTTGGCCGTTGAGGGTTGCCGGCTTTTAGTTCTTGGTTGTTTTCTTGGGGCCTCACTCCGTCACACTCGGAGGAGCCATTAACACCCTGCGGCTTCCGGCAGGCAGAGTACATATCTTGAACACAAGGAATATAAATAAACAAATACACGATAATTCCAGAGGGCCAAAGCTTCACACTTCATTTTCCTACTGCTACGACGTCTCTCCTGAGAGGCCAACAGTAAGTTCCGCCCCTTCCCCGCCACCTGCCTGCGGGCCTCTGCGCACTCCACCTCTCCCAGGCTAGACTTTCTGCCCACTGAAACCTTCCCGCTCCCCAGGGACCAAACGTGCCCTCACTTCAGGATGGGACTGCACAGACCTCAATGAGAACCTCTGCCACGAACATTTAGGTTATTAGTATGAAATGTCTGATGTCCTTAAGTACTAAGTTTGACAGTTGATATCTCTGACATTTCACTTTGACACTTTGTTTTATTTTCATTGTGAAGATACATTCACTCTTTCGAATGTACATTTTGGCTTGTGATTATCTTTCAAATTTTTTTTAGAGCAATTTTTGTGAAACCATGGATAAGTCAAAAATTCGTGTTATTTTCGAGTATGAGTTCCATTGTGAAACCAATGCAGTGTAGACAGCCCAAAATATCAACAAAGTGTTCGGGAAGGGTGTGGCTAATGAATGCATGATACTTCGATGGTTTGGGAATTTCCATTCTGGTGATTTTAATCTTGAAAATGAGCCACGTGGGCGACCTGAGACCGATGTGGATGATGATGAGCTGAAAGCTGTAGTGGAAGCGAATCCATCTTAATCTATGCATGAATTAGCAGCGAGGTCTGACGTTCCTATTCCAACAATATTGGGCCATTTGAAACAAATGGGCACGGTAAAGAAGCTGGATAGATGGGTTCCACATGACTTAAATGAGCATGAGCAGAGACAGGACCACTACAAGACCCAAGGACAATGACGTGGTGACCAAGCTCTGAGGCCACATGACACACTTGGGCCCCACTGAGCAAGTCTGTGGAGTAGGCTCTCTGTGCCTCAGTTTCCTCATCTGTGAAATGGGGATAATGCTACCTCCCTTAGAGGCTGCTAAGAGAGATAAAAGACTTAGTTCCGAGCAGAACTGGTACCCGGGACTCTGCTCAGGGGTTAGCTGCTGTCACTACTCTCATTCCCGTGCATTCAGCTGTGGCACAGCGAGGACCCTCGAGGGAGTGAGCCTGCGAGGACCCTCGAGGAGCTGGGCATGACGGTGAGGGAGCGCATAAGGCTGTCACTGCTGCTGCACACACAGCCGCTCTCCTGCCCTCCCATTTCCTTCCACCTTCATCTCTCTGGAAAGGAGAGAATCAGAGCTGCGGCCTGCAGCAGGCAGGGAACCGCTGGGCAAGTGGGAAGAGGCCCGATCTTCTGGTCTCTTCTGGTGGGGAAACCAGAAAAGGAAAAGCACCCCCTTCCCGGGCAGATGCGAGCCAGTGCAGAAGCTCATGGTTGGCCTGTGGCGTGTGGGTTGCGTGCCAGCCCCGGGAACCCCTAGGGGCCTGAGCCCACCTGGTCTGAGAGCAGAAATACCAGCAGGAGCGAGAGGAAGGAGGGCACGGACTTGGGACAAGGAGGAAGCCAGAAACCAAGAGCCAGAGCCACAGAGCCGCTGCCTAGAGGGCGCGTGTGGGGCTGTTAGGAGCCCAAGCAGGAGACAGGGCGAGGAAGGAGGGTGGGCCGCAAGCAGCCCATGAGCTTACTGTCACCCACTCATTCCAGATTTCACCTTCCTTCCCCATTCACACCCATCTCTGGGGGATTCTGCCCAGATTTACCCAAAGTATTGCCTTTCCTTACACTTAATTGGGTGACATTTAGAACAAGACACATGTACCCTAAAAGATTCAGTAACATTTGGAGACTGTCCTCAGAAAGCCACTTCCACAACCAGGAACAGGGCCCCCCACACTCTCCGGGAAACCACCTGACGACGGCGCTGCGCCGGCTCTGGGGACACACCCTCGCAGAAGCCTCCCCCTCATGCCAGCTGCCAACTCGTGGGGCCGGGAGCTATGCCCACTCACTCGTCGGGAATTTAGAGCTTCCCCTACCTGAGACCAGGGTGAGGCAAACCAGCTGCCCCTTGGGGGACCTGCAGCAGCATAGAGGGGGTGCTTGGGGCATGGAAAGAGGGCGCAGGATTGTTCCAGCTCCAGGTTGGGCTTCGGCAAATGCAAACACTTCTTTGCGGCCAGCTCTCGATACTTCCCGGAAACATACTTTTCAGCACATCTTAAGAATCTTTTCTGTGTTCCCCTTTCACATGTCACAGAGCACTAAAAATAAGAGAGCAAAGATGTGAGTGAAAAATATCTTTTTTTCTTTGCAAAATCAGTAGGTCAAAATGTTTCTCAAAAATATGAGTTTGAACTTTTATATGTGTAGACATTCAATGAAATTTATTAGATCATAGCATTTTAAATAGGCTTTATAGTATCTATCATTAAAAAAGAGGATCTCGAGGTCATAGTGGTACAGCACCATGGGCCGTAAGTAGGGACAGGGCAGTCAGAAACCATGAAGGGTGTAATTCTAAAGCTACCATTTCACTGGAAAATTAAAATGTTGGGCTGTCACTGATACTATTAGAATGTACTGAAAATCAATAGCCAAAGACATGTGGTAAACGCCACAGTCCGTGGAATTAACCCACCCAACTGTAGGCACGACGTTGGCCCCTGAAGCAGGGGCAGGTAGAAGAAACCCAGGGCTCACAAATCTCCAGAAATTTGAGTGCAGCTTGTGCAGAAAGTAAGCACACATGGAGAGAAAATGCACTGGGGTTCCCCTCCAAGGTGTGCTTTGAACTTGAGCTGTCCTGGGCTGCCAGACACTCTGGCATGTGCAGAGGCGCCCCGGGCAAACCAGCAGACTGTGCAGAAGGCTGCAGGCCCCTGCCATGCAAAGAGGACACACAGAAGGAAGGCACACTGTTGAACCACAGGCCAAGGCATGGGGGTCTCTGAGAGTGAGGTCCGGCCCTGGGGTTGCTGACTCATGCTGGGGAAAGCGGGTGATGACCTGCAGCCCCATGGACCATGCGACTGACGTTACTTAAGCAGAGAAGCCCGGGGTCGACACCTGCCCATGTTCCAACCCTGCACTCTCGCCCTTAGGTTTACAGGTGTGCTTTTTGTGCACCTTAATGGAGACCAAGTTGAAAGGCTCCTCCTCCCTGTTGCTGGGCCATGCCTAAGAGAGATGCTCTGGGGTGTGTGTGTGCGTGTGTGTGTGCGCACGCGCGAGTGTATGCGCATGCACATGTAAGTTTCAGGGCAAGGGCTTTCTATCAGGACACTGACCATAGGTTATGCAGCCCGAGTCATTTGCTTTCTATGGTCTCTGCCTCTAGGGACAAGAACCACAGAAAGGTCTTTTGCAAAGACAGTGCATTCAGTATTATGACACACTGTCATTTCTGTGTCCCGGGTGAAAGAGAACCCGGAGTTGTTTGTTAGCAATGGCAATGGTGATTTTATTTTTTTAGTGACAAACAGAAGCAGTGTCTCAATGGGATTAAATGTCCTGCTTGGCACATTGCACCGTCGTCAGCGAGGCGTCATTTGAGGTGCGGGGAGATGCAGCGCCTAACGAGACCTGCGTCCTGCCCCGAGGAGTGTGGGATGGGAGCAGGTAGGCGCTCTCTCCCCACGACTGCTGCGGAAAGGCAGAGGCACGACTCTGGGGCTACGGAGCTTTCTCGGTGCTCCGTTCAGGCAGGTACACCGCTGGCTGGGTTGCTGTCATTCTGTGGGCTGTAACATTCCGGAAGTCCTTTCGGGCTCACGTGAGCCAAAGCTAGTCACGAAACTGCCCACACTTCAAACTCATGTTTCCAAATGTTAGTCCCATTATGACAGGGTCTAGGATAGCCCTGAATGGTGCAAACGCTGGGCTTCCATCTGCACAACGCGCAAATTTCAGAAAACTCCACATCAGAGGTTCCTTCTACAAATATAAAGAGTGCCTAGAAACTTGTCTTGGGAAGTGGGTACTCTGTTTCTTCCCACAGTAATCCACCTTCTTTCTGCTCCACACTAGCTACGTCTTTCCTGGAAACGGCTGTGCTGTTCTGGAGTTAGGCGAGTCTCCATCACCCACTGCCAGCGGGAGGAGCGAGCCCCTATTCTCGCACTCCTTCCGGGTTCATCCTCTGTCCTCTGCTCAGGCTGGCTCAGTAATGACCACATGGATGCCCTGGGCCAGATGCTCCCAGGACAAGATTCAAAAGCCCAAAGAGACAGTGAGCAATCTTTGAAGTTAACTGAAGCCGAGAGGGGTGCGTGAAGCTAGGGGCTGGGGACGAGACACCCAGGCAGCACAGGGAAGAGGTGAAGGCAGAGGAGCAGGGGGCGAGAAGCCAGGCGAGAAGAGAAAGCCCGGAGAAAGGCCCTCCGCGGTACCGCTCACCTTCCTGGGACCAGCACACCCACCTGGAACCGCGCAGCTACCTGGGACCTGAACCTTCCTGGGACAAGCGCACCCATGCGCACCTCCCCGGATCCAGCGCATCTACGTGGGACCACGCACCTACCTGGGACCAAGCAGACACGAGCCACTGCAGCTTCTTGTGCTTGTTGCAGCGCTGCAGCAGGCAGGCCTCGTGCGTCCTGGGCTTGGGCTCCGAGGTGCAGACCGCATTGGGCAGCAGCTGCGCTCTGGCCGCAGGGTCGGTGCTCTTACAGACCACCAGGCGCTTCCTCCAGCCCTTCCCACAGGTTCGCGAGCACTGCACGGAGGAGCCTGTTCAGTGCAGGGCAGAGGCCGCCTGCGCCCATCACCCCGCGGGGCCCAGCCGCCCCGCCGCCCCCCGCCACGCGCTCACCTCCAACCAGGGCCCGGCGCTCCAGGCGGGCGGGCAGCGCTGGGGGTTGCAGGCCCGGCGGCTGGGGGGCGCGGGCTGCGGGCACAGGCCGGCCGGGAGCGGCTCCGCGTGGTGGCGCGCGCGCCGCGTGCACCGCACCAGCCGGCTCTGGGCACCGCCGCCGCACGTCCGGCTGCAGGCGCTCCAGTTCCCCACCGACCAGCTGGGAGGGGACAGAGAGGGGCGTGAGGGCCTCGGTCCGCGAGGGTCCGCGCCACAGTCGGGTGTCCTTTCTGGTTCCCACTATGCAAGGCTCACCCTAGCCCGTTGTCCCACCGCCTTGATCAGGGGTCTGTTGTTCTTTCCTGCCCCTGGCTTTTGGGTTCCAAAGGCCCTGGAAATAACCCGTCTCAGCAGAGGGTGTCTGCTCTCTCGAGAACTTTTTTTACTAGAAAATTTCAAACATATTAAAAATTGTAAAAAACCCCTTTGTGTTCCCATGCACCCAACTTCAGCAGTCATCAACGTGTGCCCCGGCCCCTATGGCATTTTGAAGGAAATCCCAGATATATAGATATTTCAATATGCATCTCTAAAAGATATTTGGACATAACCACAATACCATTATGACATCTACAAAACTGGTGATAATTCCTTAACATCACTACATAGTCAGTGTCCCAATTCCCAATTGTGTCATAAATGTCATAACTTAAGTATTTGTTTGAAGACTCCAAATAAAGTCCACACTTTGCAACTGGCTGTCCTGTCTTCTTTTTTTGTTGATAGGTTTTCCCTTAATCTCATTTATTTTTCTATTCGATTTATTGGTTACAGAACCCACATCTATTCCCTTACTGAGCGTCTCGCAGCCTTTTTTGCTGATCTCTGTGGTGTTGCTCCCTGTGCTCCTCTCTCCTCTGTCTTTCCTGTCACTTAGCAGTTGGACCGAGAGTCTTTATCAGATTCCGGTTCAATTTTTTTATATGACAGTTTCATCAGCAATCATACATTCTTCCAATGGAGGCTCATGATGTCTGGCATCTTTGTTTCAATTTGTTACCAGCTACTGATGCTCAGTGATGTTTTACCTCAAAGCCAGCTTTTTTTTTACTGGTGATAAAAGTCCCCCCTGTCAACATGTATGTTGGCAGATGATGTGACGTGGGGTGGAGCCAGGTCCAGGCACCACCTTGACTGGCTTGGCCCAAGTGCATCTGCAGGAGGGCTTGACGCGTGTGTGGGGGCCGGGGACGGTGCGTTGAGAGGAGGGACACCCAGGAGGTCCAACAGGACTCAGCGAGCTGAGGGCCCCGTGCTCCCTCCAAGAGTCAGCCAGCCCTCTGGGTTCTGGGAGGACTTGATGATCTTCACTCACATGTATCTCCCTGTGCAGCCCCCGGGGGCCAAGGCGGAAGGAGATGGAAGGTGTTTGTGCAAAAACTGAAAATTCTGTGCAAGACTTTGGCACCACTTTGGTAGCTGTAAAAAGAGAACTGAAGGGAAAGGAGAAGCCACGATCCTCACTCTTCAGGCAAAGCAGCGTGAAGATCAGGCGGGCGAGCGTGGGCTGTCCAGCCTGCTTCCTCCAGCGCCGGGTATCTAGCAAGCAGGTCACGATGGGGGCCCACCCCGGGACACGGAGCGCGGGGGCTGCCTGCGAGGCTTTGCTTGCAGCTCTGTCTGCAGAGGGGCCCCAGAGTGACACGTTCTATCTCCTGCTGCCCAACCTTTCTGAGGACCAGTTAGGATAACAATGACTTTCTCCTGAATCTTGAGGCAAGGCAGGATTGGTGAGGATGTCCAGGCTTGTCCTTTGGCTTCCTGACCGTCCTGTCCCCCGATCTGCACCCCCACATTCACCCTTGGCTAGAAGAGCCAAAGCAGCAGCCCAGAGAGCTGGGCCAAGGTCTCCCGAGGCTCCTGTCACCAGTACCCATGGCAACCAGGAGAGATGACTTCCAGAATGAAGTTTGTGGACCCAGGTTACATGAGGAGATAGCAAACACTGCCCAGAGTCCCCCCTACCATAGATAACACCATGATTACTTCCTCACATCTGCTTCTGGGGCTTTCTGTGCATGTAAATATATTTTTAACATGCTTAAGGGCAGGCAGGATGTGAAACTTTTTATTCAGGATTTTTTAAAAATGTCTAGAACAAGCATTTTTCCTACAGCGCAGAGCCTTTGCAAACATATTTCCAGTGTCTCTGATTTTATGACCTGAACCAAGGTCCTTCCCAAGTAAGGAAATTCAGGCAAAAAGGGCTGAATTCTCAAGCTCCCGGACACCCGGGAACTTCCTGAAGTGGAACCGGTTCCACGTGTGCCACGTCTGTCAAGATTTCTGAGCAAGATGATCAGCGCCTTTCCTATGTTCTCGAACGCGACCGTGGCCCGAGTAGTTCTGGAGCCAAATGTGGGACTATTGTGAAAGTCCTGAGGCTCAATCAGGTGTTGGACCGTGAAGGAGGGGTGGGAAACAGGAGCGATCCCGCCAGAACTCCCCACAGCCACGCCACGTTGCTCGCTGCCTTTGGATTGAGTTGCACCATAATGTTTTTACTTATTTTTGTTTGTAGAAGCCTTGAACTATTTTATATCAAGTGTTTTTCCTGAAAAGATTCCATTATGTGTTTAGGAAAATCATAAACAGTCTGTAATGAGAATTTTTATACATGAGAAAAGAATGTATGTCAGTGTTGTAGGAATTGTCCTATATTAACTGTGGAAATGCTTCCATTTTTCATTGTCAACAAGATTAGTGTTTTTATTACGTGCTAAACCACCTAAATTATGCATCCTTCTTATGAAAGATCAGCTTTTGGCTTCGTGGCTGTGATAATTCTGCATTTGGAGCCTCTCGATGGCTCTATTGCCACCTCTGTGTGCTTTCACGTTGTTTTTATGTTTCCTGCCGTGTCTTACATTTGCTCGCTCAGTCCTGCAGCCTTACAAATCACAACTTCTGTGTCCTCATCAAGCTGTGGAAGGCATCAAGGCATCCTGGCTGTCTGGAGGCTTTTCACACCATCTCACGAAGGCTTCTGCTTCTGCCATCTTAAGATGTTCCAACTGGGTTGGGCCATTCTCTGCCCTTCTCTCTCAACTTCAAGTCATCAGGGAGTCCTCCTGAACAAAAATCATCCACACCACAGCTGGAAACAACAAGTTTCTGTTTTGTTTCACAAACTGAACTCTGGGGAAATGTCTTTGTTTCAGCTCATGAGCGAGTCAAAATCCACGTAAGCGTCTGTGCCAGTGTTTGGGGGTTCCATGCACAGTAACAAACTGTGCTCAGCAGCTGCCCAGTTGCCCCGAGGGCCCCTGCTTTGTTTTGGTTTTCCGAAGCCCACCAACGGGAACGACACGGGTGGCTGGTATTCCCCAAGGCAAGGGCACAGGAGCACTCAGCACCCAGCACCGTCGGTGCTTCCCGCTACTCAGGGCTCCCTCGTGGGGCACTCCTTTGTGGCTCTCAGCACTGCTGGAGGAAGCGATGGGGTTTACAGTTCTCATGCAACAGTTTAGCTAGAATTTCCTGGTATCATTTGTTCAATAGTCAATATTCTTAATGGTCAGCAATCATTGGTTGTTTCTCAATAAAATGACTTTCCTATTTTTTAAAGAATAAAATAACATTTTGATTTGACTCTGGAAAGTTTCCTTTGAAAATGCGAACTTCCAACAAGGGTAAAATGCCTGGTCATGAAGCACCACACAAGCGTCCGTGTGTCATGACGACAGCGCTGACTCAGAGGCCAGCCTGGCCTGGACCCCAGCCGCTCGCCGCTCACGGCGGAGCCCCACCCACGGCCGCCCAAGCTCTGCTCATGGACTTAACACCAGTGAGTCTCTCAAAGACCTTCATTTTAAAATTCAGTTTCAGTTTCTTTTCCCTGTTAGCTATTTTTGAGCTTTCAAGATCAAGCCCTCTGCTGCTCTATTTTTAAGAATTACTCTTGGCGTTCTCTGTAGGAGTCTCTCGTAGCTCAGTGGGAAAGGTGTGGAACAACGATGGGGTAGAAACCTTGCCACAACACAGACCCACGAGAGGCCCTGATAAATATTGGGTACTAACGGCTGGATTTAGTTCCAGAGGGGCGAGAGGGGGACGTGTGGGAGACAACTTAGAGCGCAGCTTTCCAGAGGAGGCGCCGCCTCTGCACCGGGCAGGCTCGGGTGCCTTCGTCACAGTGTCTGGTAGGCTGGTCTTCATCACCTCATCCACTCGGGTGACCTCTGTTGCCCTGCACACGGACACGCTCAATACCCAGATAGCTCAGGGGTTAGGACACCTGCCAACATGGCCTCATGGGACAGGTTTTATGTGACTTTTGAAGACACAACAACCTTCTATTCATATCAAACAGCGTCATCTTTACATATGTGAGTAATTTGACACTTTTCTTTCAAATGAAATGTTTTGAAGATAACAAGGCACATTCAACAATAAACAGATGCCAGTTTGAAAAATCTGTATTTTCCAAAGGAAAAAAAAAACAGTTAACAAGTTAACCTTCAAGAATGCAGGCTGGCTGGAAGCTGAAAGCACAGCAGCCAAGGCTAGCAGGAGGTGGGTAGAGTGGAAGGAGAGACACCGCTTCCTAAGCCCATCTGGCAGACGACCCTGGGCTGTTACCTCCCCTCCTCCTCTACTGACTTGGGAACTTATTATCGACCTATGTCAATGGACATTTCATCAGTATCACCTGGTGCCAGCCATACTCCAAGCAAATTCAGAGGCAGAAGTCCAGCTCTGAAAGAAACAACTATCTTGGTAACCAAAGGTGTGAGTTAGTGTAGTAGGTACCGCCAGAGTGACTAGACAAATGGCACTGTGCTCTCGTACAACACCTTCTGGAGCAGCGCACTTAAAGTCTCCAAATCCCTCTGAAGTCCAGCAGTGAGTACATCAGAAATAAATCCTCCTGAAGTCCAGCAGTAAGTACATCAAAAGTGACAGCGACATGCCACACATTCTCAACCTCCCTCTACCACGATCGGTTTGCAAAGATGTTCTGCACGCTGTCCAGGCAGGCCAGGACCCTTGGACTATCTCCTGGGAGGAGTCCTCCTAGGGGCTAATGCTGGGGTCTGGATGGCTTTTCACATGGGAATGGAAAGCCCATCTCTGAAACTGGTTGGCAGGGAACGGGGGCCTGGGAAGCTTGCAACCTGACAGTTACTCCGTTTTCTTCAGCCTCAAAAGTCAAACCAC